TCGACCGACCCGGTCGACCGCACTCTGATACGAGCCTGGCGGTCGACCGCTGCGGCATCTCGGTCGACCGAGCAGAGCGTCGCGGTCGACCGGTGCGGTCGACCGCAGGCTATTTCTGCCCCTACAGCGAGCCCAGCGGTCGACCGCCCCGGTCGACCGCCAAGCGGACAGAAACCCAAATCTGGGTTTCTGTCAGCTCGAAACCTGGAACAAGAATTTGATTCTTATGGCAAATAAAAATTCTAACTTCTCTAAAAATCATTCAGTAGAAGAACAATGCATTTTTAAGTATGTAAACCATATACCCAAAATTCTAAATACAAGAGAAACAAGATTTAAAACGTTTTGATAACAGTAAAAAAATGATTTAACTCTTGTTTAAGCAAATTTCAGATCTAGATCTTGTTGATAAAAGTCCTTTGGTGCTTTTAAAGTTTGAAAGCATGATTCTCATAACATGTACCATATAGATCTACTATCTCTACAAAAAAAATACGATTTTGGCCCAATAAAATCAATAAAAACTCAAACTTTGCATGAAAACAAAAAGGGGGTGAAGTTGGGCGAGAAGTTACTCGCCTCTGGTGAGAAAAAGTCCCTAGATCTGCAGGAGGTTGATCCCCTTCGCTGAAATCCAACAATCCCGCTGAAAATCCTCAAGACCTCCTCCCAAATCACCAAGCAAGGAGAATTAGGGTTTTAGGGAAGAGAGGGGGGCTAGGGTTTTGGTTTCAGATTTGAGAGAGGCTCTCTCGGGCACATTAGCTTATATACTAACTCACAAACCCGACCCGAAACCCTTTTGAACCCGAACTCAGAAAACAGCCTGACCGCTGTGCGGTCGACCGATGCGGTCGACCGCTTCGGTCGACCGCGCAGCAGAAAAATGCCTGCTGCTAGGTATTTAACATGCTGGTCATTTCACTCGATTTCTCTCACATAGAAACACTTGATGGGTTCTCAAACATAGATAATCACATTCATCTGATATATATATATATATATGTATATATATATATGATTATTTATCATAAGAGAATTATTCA